AATTTTGTATCGCCGCGCCGCATTTTTTGCCCTACCCTTGTTGCAGTTGTGAGGAAGGTAATGTTTGGAAGCAACCACTACCCAACAGTACGGTATTTTTAAATAAGGCAAACTCTTATACCAAATTTCCTGAGGTCAGTTTACATAATTTAATTACAAACAAATATTTGAATTCGCGATTAAGGTGACATGTGACAATGAAAAAAATCTGGAGTGAAGATCACACGATTAGGGCTTCAACAGGTGATAACAACATTGTTGATGATGATTTTGGGGAACCAATAATTGGTCACAATATTGCGTAAGAAAATTTTTTCTCTTAGAAAAAAGCTAGAAAAAATAAAACGTTACTAGAAACGGCCAAAAAGACTACGGAGAAAACTGCAAACAACCCGATTTGAATTCAAGTATTCTCAAAAAAGAAGTTAGAGATTTTGTAGCAAGTTTGAATGTAACAGAAGAGAAACGAGACTTTATCGAAAACGCTACTAGGGAACAAAGTGGATCTGAGTTGGTTTAATGAAAGAAAGTATAGAATCACCGCCTCGAAAATAGGAAAAATAATTAAAAGAAGAAAAACCAGTTCTTGGGCTCCCTTAGTTTGATCGTTTCTATACAGAGTGTCCCAGGTTTTAGGGCCGGTGCAAAAATAAATATTTCCAATTAATTTAAAAAAATTGCTAGTGCAAACGATAGAGGATTATATAGACTTCAGTTTGATGCTTTAATATTGTTCAAAATTTTTTGCGTAAGTCAGGTGGGACTTTAAAAACCAAATTTGGAAAAAAAAATTAATTGGAATCTTCTCCACATGATAAAATTGCTTGATTTTTTCTAATGGTCACTATGAAAATTGGATAATGTAAAAGTTGATAGATTTTGGGTAATTAACATTTTAATATTGAAAAGTGGGAATTCTGGAAATTTATGGCCAAGTTTGAGATGATGTGCTGCTAATGCATTGACAATAGAGTGGAGGCTTCACAATAGAGCTTGGGTACGTCATAAATGTCATTGCGGAACTTTTTCTTCTCAAGAAATTCTGGCCTGATCACCAATTACCGCAAACCCTCCCATAAATAATTCCAAGTTTCAGATTTTCAATATTAAAATGTTAATTATTCAAAACCTATCAACTTTATCATTATTCTGTTTTCACAAATACCACAGACAAAATTCAAAGAATTTTGTCATGTAGAAAATATTTCAGTTTCCTTTTCCTTTCAGTGTTCTTTTTTTGCAAAAAAATAAAACCATCGAAGAAGCCATAAGAGATAGACCTCATTTTTGTCTAGACAAAAACAATAAATTGAAAAAAACACGATTATTATTATTAAACTCAATTACGGGCCACCAATAAAAAAAATGTGATTTTATTTTATGGGCAGAACAAATATTTCTATTGATCGCATTTTTCCGGATCCCAAGTTATGAAAAAAAAATTTACCCAAGATAAAATATTTTTACCAAAAGGCCTTACTACCAGAAATACTAGATCCTAGGCTATGCAAGTCAATGTAAATAAGGAAAACAGAAAAAGAATAGAAAAAATAGCGTTTTATTGATTTCAATTTTTTTTACATTGAAAAAAAGTTATGACATTTATTTATTACTTTCTGTTCCACTTTTGTATTTTTTTTTATTTGAATGTAACTGAACTCTTCTCTGCCAAATTTTTGTTGCGAGTAATATTGCGACCTTGGTGCATACTTACATCTTAACCCTTAACAAAACGCGCATCGCTTTCAACTATTTCAAGTTTTTAAGTATCCCTCCACTCTAATAGAGCAAATTTTGTCAAAGTGAAATGAATATTCGCGTTTCGTCAAAAACTAATAATAATTTTTTCAGTTTTTTGGTTGCATTCTATTTGTACAACTTTCCCCTAGGCGTTTTTTTAAATATTTATATAAAATTTGAATAAAAAAAAGTTAGATAATTGTTTTTTCAAAAAAGAGTTACGTTGGCGAAAATTCTAAATGTCTAAAACTGAATTCAATTTTTTGATTTAAAATTGGAACAAAAACATCGCCAAAAATAGCCAAGTAAATTTCAACATACTTTTCTTTGTCGCACACTTGGTTTAACTCTGTCGTCCCCTTTAGCCTTAAGGATGTTTTGTCTAGTGTAAAATTCACTCACACTCACTTGTACTCACTTGTATTTTATTATATATTTTTTTAGAAAAATTCCGAATCCGACTTTGATGATTCCTTCGAGTCTCCTGAAAACATGTTGATGGAAGCAGTGTCAGATAATGTGAAAACCGAATTCATAGATTATGGACCAAACTTGGAAGAAATGAAGACGTTGCCGTCTGTTTTATTTGAAGAATCTAGTATGGACGTGAGTGTTAAAAATGAAGAAATGGAGAATGGCAAACCAGACGAAGATGTACAAATTGACGTAGATGATGAACCTAGTCCTGAAGGAAAATTAGAAATTGATATACCTGATGAAGATACCAATGATATTAAAAACGAAACTGAGAGCCCAGTTAAAATGGACGAAGACAGTTCACTAGATAAAACACCCGTTCCAGAACCCGAAGTTACTGATAATTAATTATAAGTTGTCTTATTTTTTGTTACACGTTTTGTATTCATAATAAAATCATTTGAATTAATTTTGTTTACGTTTCCATGACACTCCCTCAAGTCAATAACCCGTCCAAGACAAAGGGGTGGAGTAGTTGATAAGACAGTGGTCTGTAATACCTACATTTGTGTTTACAATTTTTTATTTCCAATGTCCATTTTCATCTTCTCGGGATGAAACTTAACACATATAACTTTGGGTCATAAATGCCAACTAGCAGTAGTGCTGCTACTATTGTAAAAAATAAGATTTGAGTTAAAATAAAAAACATTCATGGTGTGTTTCTAGGAGAAGAAGAGGGCTTTCCGCTTACAAACCCAGGTAAAAAGCATCGAAAGACACGATGCCGAACGCTCGGATTTTCTTACCATAGAATCGGCGTTGCCCTCGAATGAACGCAGATTGACCAAAAGGTCTCATAGTACTTTAAATGCATCCAGTATTTCAAGGGCTCATAGTTCAAAATTGATCTCATGCGACCCCATCACCTTACAAACCCACACCGATGGCTCCGTCCACATCACACGCACCCAAAATGAGAAAGACTGCAGTCCTGATAGGATAAGTCTCGACAGGAGAGGTCTAACCGCCTTTCCTATTATTGACGGCGAAATGAAACTCAGATTGTTGTCATTGCAACATAATTTAATTAGCAACTTAGAAGGGCTGCAAGCCCAAAATTTTCCTTATTTAGTGTTTCTAGACATTTACGACAACCAATTAGAACAAATGGGCTGTTTGGATACATTGGATAATCTCAGGGTGCTGCTAGTGGGGAAAAACAGGTAAAAATACAGAGTGTTCCGTCTAAACCCCACTTTAAAAGGATTGGGAGTTCGAATAATCATATTTGTTTGAAAATTGGTACATAGCCATAATGCATTAAGTCCTCCTAAATGAAAATATTTTCAAGATGGCGGCATTTCCGGTTATACCGGAAGTCGGTCTCAACTTTCTTATTTTAAATGGAAAACTATATTTTTACTGCGTTTTTGGATTAATCGGGTTATTTTAAGATCAGCTTTCTCTATACTTAAATTTAGCCGTTTTTGAAATATTTGGAGTTTTTAAAAAAAAAATAGATCTGCACCTTACACTTTAAAAATCAGTAACTGCTATTTTTTAAAATTTTGAATTCGTTTTTTTTTGAGTTTGAAAGAGAAAGTTTAGATCTTGGGTGTTTTCAAATTTTGAAAAAAAAATTAACAAACCATAAAATTTTAAGGTTACTTTCGTAATAATTGAAATATCCATAACTCAATTTTTCCAAATGAAATACCCCAGTTTTTATTTTACTAAATGGAAGAGAATTTAATTCTGAATCGATCTGTATATATAACATTCCCTATACCAAAATTTAATAATTTTTAAGTTATGGTGACTTTTTGTTAAGACTGTTGAAAATCTATTACGTTTTTGTATAGTTTGCTATGGAAATAAAAAATGTCAAAATTGTTTCTCAATAAACGTCGACAGTGACTTATTATTTGACAAATAGTGCCAAAATATGGAGAGTCAAAGCTACTCAAACTTAGATTTAATTAATTTATTTTGTATTTATGGAGAGTGTAACAAAATTATGATGTCGTTCATTAAACAAAAATAATTTTTTCACTTGTTAGCTT